ACATTAAGGCTGAGCTGTGCAGAACAATGTAAACACAGCCGTCTCAGGATACTGGTGCTGGAAAGGGGGGGTGTTGGCTTGACATGGGGGCTATTCCTGGGTCTTCCTGGGAGTGATCATCATTGCTCTTCCCCCTTACTATAATCCTTTCCAACTAAACACAGGAAGGAAGAGATAGGTAAATAACTTGATCTTCTGATAAACTAATTTCTTTCCCACTCTACATTTTTATAAAGCTTGTTATGCTTGAAAATACAGAGGCGTGGACTTTAGTGGAGTACAGGAGTTCACATGGGCCATGTGATGTGAGCTTATGCTGTAGTGAGCCATATGTTTGTGGAACGCATCACAGAGGAACAGTAATCCTGCTCAAGACATATTTAAAAGGAAGCCTGTTGAAGTTATAGAAAAAAATGGGTAAGGAAACAGGAGCTGAGAGACAAAGAGTCCACTTTGTAGAGAAACAGACAGGAGTTGATCCTGAACCTCCTGTGGTTTCTTCTGTGAGCAAATCTGCATTGCTCCAGGGCTAACAAACTCACAGAGAGGATAATACACGGGCTGGATGAGGGAGAATGTGGTACAGAAAGTGGATGGATGGGGAGACGGTCAGTCCAGGTCAGTACAGATGTGAGGCTGTTAAACAGTAGGGAACTAGAGGAGGTCAATGGTGGACATCTCAGGGCAGCACCCCGAAGTCATTCACACCCCTTTGTTACAATCTGGAGGAAAACAGAGAAAACAGCAGGGACACAGTGGTGACAGAACATAAGGGGGAATGTCTGGGATGTGGGGATAGTCTCCATACCCTGGGGAAAGGCCAATTACAGGCTTAAAGCCTCCTGCCTGTCTCTGGCATGCAGCTCAGATAAGATGAAAGTTACTTGGGACCAATATCAACATTTTTCCCCTCTGTCACCATAAGAAATGATGCAATCCAGATGTTGCATATATAACTGCATGAGCATACGTATTGTGGGTGCACTTTCTTACAGCTTTATATAAAAGGAGATGACATGGGTTTTTATTGTCAAACTACTAACATACTGCAGACCTGCAGGTTTGATTCTCTGCAGATCATTGTACATCCAAGAGTGTCAAGGGATAAAGGTTGAGGGTCACGAGTCTTTAGGGCAGAGCCCACTGACACTGTCCTGGGGGTTATTAATGGAGTGTTAGGGTCACCAGGCTCCACCCTGGCTGTATAATAATTTATAACACAGACGTCACCAAATGCATAAACAAATAATAATAAAAAAAAAAAAAAACTATTCTGGACTTATCTTGATGAATTAACCATGCCTCATGGTGAACTGTAGGTTTTCAGTGTGCTTGCAGAATAATTTGTGGACGATTATGAAAGAGGGTCTCACAGGTTGAGCATTTTTAACTAAATTGTTTCTGTGGAAATATTGCACAAAAGCCCCATTTAAACAGATTTTAGGATAAGACTGATTCAACACTCTGTCAGCTCAAAAGACCCAACTAGGGAGCAGCTGCAATCAAAAAGTAGCCTTTTATGTAATTTTTCCTGAAATTTGCAGGTCAAACTCTGTCTAATCTTGATGACAGAAAATAATTACACTTCATCCTGGTGGTTAGCACTGTTGCCTCACAGCTAGAAGGTCCTGAGTTCAATTCCACCATCAGGCCGGGGTCTTTCTGTGTGGAGTTTGCATGTTCTCCCCGTGTTTGCGTGGGTTCTCCCCAGGTACTCCGGCTTCCTCCCACAGTCCAAAGACATGCAGTTAGTGGGGTTAGGTTAATTGGAAACACTAAATTGCCCATAGGTGTGAATGTGGGAGTGAATGTGAGTGCGACTGGTTGTCTCCTGTCTATGTGTTAGCCCTGTGACAGACTGGTGACCTTATGACAGCTGGGATAGGGTCCAGCGCCCCCCACGACCCTGAAAAAGGACAAGTGGAAGCGAATGGATGGATGGATTTTTTTCCAAATGATTATGATAAAGAAAATGAAGGCTGACATCCCACTGAGGCACATACACTGACACTCACACCTGAGACTGAAGTCAGTATGGTGGGAATGGTGCAACTTGTGAGGGATATCTAGTATTAAGTCGGACCAATTCAGTTCATATTTGTAGTTGCTCAGATCCTGCCAACAAAAACCAACAGATACTTACATTTTCAATCTTATCTGAACTAATGAAATAATGGGGGTTATTTTTTTTTTTTCATATCCTGTACATAGAAGAGGTTTTACAATGTTATCTATCTGCCATAAAGTAATGTTAAGGGTACTGGTTTTGGATTCATAGCTCAGTTTTAGTCATATAAACACCATTTCAGACTACAACACAAACATGCAGCTAAAGCAGAGACAGCGATAAGAACCAGGCAACCAGTTTGAGTTACCCTTGGGAGATGGGGACATACAGCCGAGTGCAGCTTTCTGTCTGAGCAGCGCTGTGACCAGCAATAACTCTGAGTTTGAATGTTTGCAGAGGCATGCCCTGGTAATCCCAGCAGAGTAAAGCAACAGGCCGGGGTGAAAGAGGTTAGCTCCTCTCTATTGCACTGCTGTCATCACTTCCAAGTTCAGTGATGTGACAGACTAATCAACAGTAGGCTGGACAGCACGCTATATAGAGACACTACGTACCTTAATAAAATCGGTCTTTTAAAAAACATGAACTTGCAAAGTCTACTCTCCGTGGGAGGGATGTACAGTAGAAGTGTGCATGTTTAGTTTGGGAAGGCTGAGGTCCTGGCTGGGATGGTGATGGGAAGGTAAAGCAGTGAGTGTTCCTGGAAGTGGTGAAAGAGTGAGCCTGTTGAGTTTTGCCTTAGCTGCCCCACCCCTTCTAGCTTGCCTAGTACTACACATTCTGTGGACTGGAGAGCCTCCAAGCCTGTTCAATCTGAACCATTCAGATGAAACCCCAGTCTTATGTCAGACAGCCAGGGCCAAGAACAGTGAGGGAGGTATAAGAGCAGGCAGGGTGGCACTGCCAGCCAAGATGATATCTGGCTCACACACACGTAACAACTCTATTAAGGAGGTAATAAATCTGGTGGCAGTATAAATACTAAGTATCACACTAACCACATTTATTTCACAGTCCCACTAACATGCTGACCTCCAAAACCACATCTGTACCCTTTTCTGATTAACCTCCAAGCAGCAAGACCCTCACAAGTACTCAAGTACGACCGGACCAGAACACTATTCTACAGCAGCTCAGGTCACATAGTGGATATTACGCAGCATCTTACACGACCTGTGTTTTTGAACCTTTATTTCACCAGAAATTGATATATTTGAGATATTAGAATCTCTCTTGTGTGCTTCTGTGTTTGTAGCCAACTTTTGGGAAAGGCATGAACTAGGCTAGGCCTTGAACTCATTGGTCCTTTGCCTCAGTTCGGTCACTGCCCATCCAAAGCCCCAGTGAACCACAGAGGTGTTGGTCTGAATGAAGTCACACTGTCCACCAGCAATGGAGCGTCCAGCTCTGGTCGGTCATACCCACAGCAGCCCTAACACACTCAGGCAGAGCAAACACATCCAGACTGCCAGGCAGAGCTGAAAGGCATTTCATCCCGCCATTTTATAGAGTAATTAACTTCTCTCTGTCCATGTTGAGCAGAGGGGGGAAAAAAACGGACTCATACGGAGATTAAATAAACAGAGGGGGCACAGAGGACACACAACTCATTTCCCTTAATTCCTCAATAAAACTCAAGCCAGTTTTGATTGCAAACAACCCTCAAATTGCGCTCAAGGCCTGCTTGTGAGATTTGATTCTTGAAGAATGCAATTTTGAACTTGGGGCAAGTGCCACGTATCCTACACTGTTATTAACATAGTCACCATCAGCTTAATGAGACACAGTCACTTTAATGAAGTTAGTTCTCATAAGATACAACTAAAACTAAAAAAAGGTGTGGTGAGAAATTATCCAGGTATAGCAGACAACCATGGGGCAGTGGATCAAAGTGGGTTCATGAAGTAAATGGATATTGGAACAGTAAGCCCTAAAGTCTTCTTCCTTTATTAAGTAAAACAGGGATGGCCCCAGCTGAGGATGAAGGTTTATGAGGTTGTTTTCAAATTCTAATTTGGCATGGGGCATGGCTAAGAGCTTGTTTTGTTTTTCCGTGCCTTAGTTTAATAAGTTCCTAAATACTCGGCTGTCTTACTGCTTGCTTTACAGCTTCAGGAGTATAGAGCGACTCAATGAAAATACCAAGGTAAGAGAAGCAGGAAATGGCTTTGTATTAGTGAGCTCATAGCTTGGCGCCATTAAGATTGTGTGTTAGAAAGTACAGAACATGTACTAATCACTGCTGTGGAGGTGAATGAGTGATGACTGACTGCGCTCTCATTTTTGATTTATTCGTTATACTCCGCCTCCTTCCCCCGACTTATCCTGCGACCTTTAAAAGCTCAAAGACACATGTACATGTGCCTCCACCATAAAAGACCTCCTGTAGATTCAAAGGCTCTACACGAAATCATGGCAATCTAGCGTTTTCTCCGTGTTTACTTGATCGGAATGTTTTCCCTACAAGCAAAACTGACCTTGTTTATGACAGAGAGGAATCTGTTTTTTCCTGTTGCTGTCAGTTTAACACAACATTCTTGCCACCATCTTGCTAACCACAAACACACACCTACCTCCTGCGCACTGGTAAAAACATATTTACTAACAGGAGCGATGTTAATTAAAAATGCTAGCGAATATGCAGTTTTCCAGTTTAGTTAAAACTATCAGTGTCGCTTTATTTCAAGTTATTATCTAACATCGATATGTGTTGTTGAAGTTATTTCAGTCACACTTCTCATACTCTAAAAGAAAATTACTTTCATCTGAAATAGGCTACTGTGTTGCAGTTGAAGAGCTCAAAAATGTGTCAATCTGTCATAGGTGGTATCGCATTTTTAAGATGTTCACATCCCATTTAAAAAGGAAAACATCAAGTTTTCATCAGCTCTAGCACATATGGATAATAAGGCCGTGTAAGATGAGCGCGCACCTGCAGCAGCAGCCTCTCGAAGGCCAGACAGGAATCCCAGCGAGGCAGGCTTGGGTGTCGGAGAGTCTGAGCCGTGGCCAGGCCCAGCTGAAGCACCCCACAGTGACTCTCTAGCGCCCCTCGACTGCTCCGGAACAGCTGGATGTAGGAGCACAGCTGTTCGGGGGTCACACGGCCTGAAAGGAGGGAAGATGATACAGTTATCATCTAGCGAGCAATTTGGAGCCGTAAGAAATGAATCAATCAAAATCTGGCAAAGATCGTTGTATACAGTGCAATCAGAAGGTTTACAGACGCCTTGACTTTTCCCACACATTTTATAGCCTTAGGATGAAATTGTTCAAAATTAATTTCATCCAAACATAACGACAAAGTGAAAACAGAATTGTTGAAAGGTTTGCCAATTCATTAAAAAGAAAAATCTGAAATATTACATTGACTTAAGTATTCAGAGCGCTTGCTGTATTTGGCTCAGGAGCCTCAGAACATGAAGTTATCAACTTTGATCGAATTCCCTCCTTCCTGATGTTTTAGGTGGAAGGAAGGAGACCTAAACCTGGTGGTTACTCACACTGAGCTACAAAGATTTGGGGTGAAGAAACTTTCGAAAGGGCAACTACCTTTGAAGCACTAAACTTTATGGCGGAGTGGACCCTCTACTCAGTAAAAGATGCGTCAAAGCTGGATTGTATTTTACATTAAAAAGGAATGAAAGGAATCCCACACTCTAAGCAACAAAACTTTGGAGCCCCGTGGTTATCGATTTTTAGGGCGTAAAAAACCCCCAACATTCCGCCATTTATAAAATCTCCTTGTCTTTATCATGAACCTGAAACTGAGACTTTGAATTCTAGCATTAGCCCACTTTCTTCTGGATCACAACTACTATAAACCTTTCTGATGATGATTGATGATGATGACGATGACGACCATGAATTGGAGACACAATTTGTCATAAAATCATCCAAATCATTAAATACTGAGTCGAACTGAAGTTGTGTCAACTAATTCCCATGAAAACATGAATGAAAACTTTAAGTTCTAGTTACTTTTTTTAAAAATTTAATTACTAAACGTTTTACTTTTATTTTAGTCAAAAGATACATACCAAATGTAACTGAAATACTGGAGTACTGATAAGCTTCAATTTTGAAATTCATCAACTTCTAAAAACTTAAGGCAGTTGGTTACCTTAATTTGTTTAAGTTCTGCTAACTTTTTTGGGTTTACAGTGTACAAACATATTCTATACATACAGCATTTTAAGAATTATATTAAGGGAAAATGATTAGACTATACAGTGGTCCCTCGCTATAACACGGTTCACCTTTCGCGGCCTCGCCGTTTCACTGATTTTTTTTAGTGCAATTTTGTTTTGCGTGCTTTTGTGTGTGTGTGTTTTCATTGTGTTCTGTGTCCTGATCGGCTGTAGACCATTGTCAATCAATCTCTTCTGTGCCATGTCTCCTGTCCAGTACAGAATGCGCTGGCCTTGTCAAATTTACATAAATCTTCGATTGCTAGCACTGTGACTCTTAAGTTGGTTTCATTCTATAATACTGGACTTATTTTTCTACGACGGTTTGAACTTTGAGAGTGTTTAAACAAGAGAGAAAAGTGTGAAAATGTTCATGCCTGTCTGAGAAAAGTGTATAAAGTGTGTAGTGAGAGGTTTTACAGCCTTAAAATATCTATAACAATTGTAAAAAATAATAATTTGCAGATTTCGCCTATTGCGGGTTATTTTTAGAACGTAACTCCCACACGATTAACGAGGGAACACTGCACACACATAGAAGGGAAGAGCCAAAAGCAGAAACAACAATAACCTTTTACCAAGCATAACAGCATTAAAAAAAAAAAATCATACACTTATCTTGGGGCAGAGGGGAATGACTGAGACTAAAGTAGAGCATAACTTTATCTTAACAGGCAACAACTCCACAGGGTGAGAGAAAGCAAACTGCACGGCTTGCGTGAGTGTTGCCGTGTGACAGTCACAAGGGAATATTCTCTATATGTGCTTGTTCCTGCGTAGTTTGTGTGACTGTTGTTAGTCAGTGACTCATAAATGTTGCACTATGTAAGCATGTGTGTAGGTGCTTAAGCATGTCTACATATAGCTGAGGTGCAGCAACACTGACAAGAGGCACTGAACCCGTGTTGAGTATGACTAATAACTGTAAATCAGAAGTTTTCACTGATTATTTATAGAGGTAGCAGAAAGAGTCCAGACTCCTTTTACTGTTTAGGAACCTCTGAATCTCCCCTAACTTCTCCCATTTAAAGAGACAGGAAAAGCAGTGCAAAGGGTGTAAAGTCCAGGGGTGGTATGAAGCGCGGCTTAGAGGTATGAGAGGTTGTGTCAGGGGCTGGGATAGACAAAGGGCACACATTAACTTGCCATAAAGCCTACTTCTTTATGTTGATGTTCTGAACCAGCACCAGATGTGGGAGTATTTCCTGTTGGACTACATGGCCAGTGTTTTCTTTAGTGAGGCAAAACATATGACCAGAAGAGAAACAGACAGGCAGGATACAAACGAAACAGAAATCTAAAAAGACATTAGAACTAGAAATGCAAAAAGGCACATGTTAAACTGGACGACAAAATGTGTAGCTTTGTACTATTTTCAGAAGGGATACTTGGGAGAGCCACACAAAGCTGCTACCAAAGTTATATTCACAACAGCTAATCAGTAAACACGACAGGAACATATATTTCCATATGTATGTGTTGGGAAACACCTTCTGAAATGAACTGAAGGACTGAGTGCACTGGGTGGCATTTAAAGACAAAACAGAGCAAGCGCCTCCGAAGGCGAATCAAGTTTCTTGTTGAATTTAAAGTATTTTTAAAGAATAAGCTCCAGTCCAGACAGAATACTGAAAAGCTCTTTTGTGAGCATATCCAGCCATAAAAATCCTGGCAGTATAACTAAAGTTCACAAAGCTTCATGTGCCAACCATAATTCAGCACAGAACCAGGGAATAATTTCACCCAGAATGGTATCCTGTAGGCTAAAGGTAATCGGAATTTACAGCTACAGCAGACCAGATGAGAATGAGAAAACGTAAAACATCGGAAAGAAACACGGAGAAAGTACTTTAGCCAAGAAAGCCTCACAAAAGCCTCCACTCCATTACACAATCAAACAGTCCTGGTTCAGCCTTAGCTCTTATCTGTGTCTCTAAACTTCCTTCAAAACAGTGCTATGATTCTTCAGGCATCCTGTTGCCAGATGCAAAATGAATCTGTTTTACATTTTCTCATTGTCATCTGATCTGTCAGCTGAGCTCTCATTTTAACTACCATAGCTGCAGCAAAACAGAAGAACTGTTTTAAAACGAAATGTTTGCATCTGTAAATTTGAATGCATTTCAAGAACCGTGCATTCCTTTCTGGTGGTGACAAGCGCCAAGTACAGAAATATTTCCATTCAGTCTTCAGTGCATTGGGTGTGCATGGAATAAAAAGCTATTCAAAATAAATATAAATAATATCAGTACTTCAGAATGTCAGTTTTGTTAAGAAGAACCCTACATACATATGAATCAGCAGTACTGGAGTTTCTGTAGCTTTTCCACACAAGATGGTAGAGAAACCTGAACCTTTTGGACATTGCAAGAATCTTCTGGGTGCATTTATTGCAAAGTCAGCCATAAAGCAAATCACATTTTTAATCTCTTGCTATAAACATCTGGATCTTCTGCGCATTTTAGCCTGATGTGCAGAAGTGGCGATTGAGACTTGGCTATGATCAAAGTCTTCAACAATGTAAGAAGGGGCAAGGGCCAACAATGATTTAGTCCGGTTACTGGAAGATGACTTGAGTTTTAGGTGCACAGGGTTACTCAGAGGGTAAGTGATGTCTGATGTCGGAGTGAAGCTGAGCGGTAGCCTGCCTCAGCAGCTGGACAGCCTCATAAGTAATTCTGTGTGGATGAGGACACAGGAAGGCTCAGAGATTTTTATTTATGCACTCCAAGAGGAGGAACATGTTGGAGCCTTTATCTGAGGATGTATGTTAGGGACCCTTTTAAGACTTTACTGTACATTAGAGCAGAGGCTACAAGTGGGCAGCTACACAGTCGCAGCACTTAGTGTCTTCAGTGTCTCTCCAAAAAAAGCTTTTATCTCTGGTTTTTCTTTAGTTCAAACTTAAAGTAAATTTCAAACTGAATCTGTTGGGGTGGGAGACTTCATTCATTCAAATTCAAGAGTGATGTTTGAAGTGCATCACTGGAAATTTTGATTGTATCGTTTCTGTGGTTAACACGACTAATAGGACAAATCTATGTTTACAAATGAAATGATTCTTATTCCTTAAACGTAAACTAGGATGCTTTGAAATTTTAAAAGATCTGAGTGTCACAATATGGCTCAAGGGCCATGACAAATAATGGGAAGAAATCACTTGAAACAAAATCTACCAATTTATTAAATTAATTAAGTAGAAAACTATAGTACTCAATGAGGGGTTCTAATCAGTGTGTCAGTAGTTGGATGACTGAATGTTAATAAGTATGCATAGTGTTGTGCATTTTAAAAAACCTAAAATGACAAACCCAAAACCAACCATACAAATAACATGGTGCTGGGTAAATGGAGAAAAGGGATGCAAGAGCTAATAAGTCAGCTTTTAAATGCTCCAGGTAGACTGGCCCTGGCTATCATGAAGCTGCAAGACAACACAGCAGGCTCTGGCTAAGGGACACAAGTTAAACAGTTTGTGTGGATGTGACTGGTAGTAACATAATGCAGACCTGCAAGAGCAGAAAAGAGATGATATACAGAAATTAGAGCGACATTTCCTAGGACGAGTCATTCACAAAAGGTCAATGTGCAATCTTGTAATTTTGAAGAAAGAGATTTCTATCTATATTTTGGCTTGTATCTGCCATCCACCTCTTCACAAAATTTCACAAATACATTCAATATAAAATTCAACAATTTTTCATAGAAACAGAAGCAAATACGACTAAAAAAAATGCTACGATCAGGTCTTCATTTCATTTGCTTTAAAAGGTAACGTGCAATTTAAAAGGTTCCTTGTTCTGCGTGTTTAACTCATTTAAAATTCACTTCTTAAGGTAAATTTATGAATTATGCTACGTGAGCTGGTGACACTGTTGGGACAAATCGATCAAATCAATCATAAGCATCTACATTGGTATGGGAACCCTGGTATAAATGCAGAAAAGCAGAAAAATAGACACTGGAGAGATCCCAAATTTGATTTAACACTTGGCAATTCACCTGCCAAGTGTTAAATAAATCCGACGAACATTTGTTAAACAGACAAAAAAAAAAAAAAAATTGCTCCTTTATGGTGACAGAGAATCCAATTCAACAAAAACAAAACAAGAAATGAATAGGCCTGCCTTAATTACTAGATAAAATATAACATTTTTCCTCTTACTCACATGTATACATGTGAGTATATAAATTTAGTTTTCAAAAGGGAGAAATTACACTGCTAAACATAAACACATCTTTGCAGTTACAAAAATTTATTTTTCCCCAAATCAACTGTCCGCTTGACTCACGCTCCTCTGTCGTTAAAAGGCCGGACTGTGCCACAGGAAGAAAGGTCCTGTCAACACATCCCATTTACCGCGCGGTGTCCGTGCACGCAGCACATACACAGAGGGTATAAACTTGTGACGCACGCATATCCACGCATATATACAAACACAAGCAGATGGATGAGATGAACGCACGTTTATGGAAGATGAAACCGAAGCTGTCCAGCTAATTCCCTGCAAAGAGCAAAAACACCAAAGATAAACACTGGACTCTGCAAAACCACATACTGTACATATCCCTACACAGAGCTAGGGAATTTCATCATTCTATTGTGCTGTGAGAAACCTGACGGGTTATATCAGGCGCTGAGAAATTGATTATTTTCTGTTTCTCACAGGATGATCTTATCCTGCTGAGATGAAAAGAAGCCAAGTTGGGTCAGTCTGTATGTGAAAATTTAGGGCCTGGAATACAGCGATATCCTCTTTTCTCCTCTGATCTGCATAACCCCACCAGAGTGAGAACACTCTTGGGTGCAGGGGAAAATTTTCCTCTCCTAGCGAGCGAGTGGGCACTGAGAGAGCAGATAGGTATTAATGCTAAGTGTTTTGTGTTACTCGGTTTAGCTTGGTCTCAGGAGCAGAGCATGATGGATTGAAAACTCTGCTGGTGGGCAGGATGGGAACTGTGGGGGGTGCTATGGGAGCTCAGGGGGTTTTGTGAATTCTGGTCCTCTGCCAGCGGGGTATAAAGGTTCAGTGTTAAGGATATTACAGTACCCCCTTCTCTCACTGCTTCTCTCGTTTTCTCTCTCTCAGCAAAAACATTAAGTTAACAGGCTGTCAGTGAACCAGCGGGAGAAGCTTCAGTGCTATACCTTCTTTATACATTTTGCTTTTAGCGTCACTTGATGTTGCGTATTTCTCTCAATAAAATCTAAAAGCCTGCACACATCTGGAATTAGAGGGACTGCCGTGTGTGAAAGGAAACAGCCATGTGTAGATTTGGACGCCAGACAGAGTGCCTTGGGTGTGAGCATATGTGTGCGACCTCCAGCATATTACAACCTGCCTGTTACGAGAGACAAGACCTTCTTTACCTCATAGATTATAGGAGCTAAGGGACCACAGTGCCCCTCCCTTTTACACCCCCTTTTTTGCCAGATGCTAACCTGCATATTAGCCATGAACGGGAGTGTGTGCGTATGTGTGTTTGTGGGAGTGTAGTACATCCATTACCTCTTTAAGTCAGAGGGTAGCATAAAGGTGAACGTGCACAAGGACACTCTACACTCGTGCACGTAATGACTTTATTTTTGTGTGCCTACGCATATTTTTATCCCTCGATTCAGTCCCTTTGCTTCATTAACAAACAACAAAAGTTTTCGAAAGCAGCATGTGTGCAAGCAGCATGTGTGTGTAAGTGTGTGTCATAGAGCCAACATGTGGTTCACATTTCCTTCTGTGGCCACATGGGCAAATACACAGCAAGGCAAAGAAGCTTGATTTCAATAGGAGGTGCTTTTGTAATGTTTTTGAGAGTGCTGAAAAACATGACAGAAGTAGCACATGATTCTCTTTAAGCAAGAAAAATTTTACATACTTTATATGATACGACTGTTCTGTGTTTTGTATAAGTTAGTCTTTAATTAATGTGAAACATGATGTGGGCTCTGTTCCTTCCACGGCATCGTGGTTCTTACCCATGCTCATCTTGATTGGCAGATTCTCTTTACTGGCTGCTTCCACTAGTTGCCGGCGGACCTCTATCACCCCCTCTTTGTGTTTACTGGTCAGCATGGCGTCCCACAGAGACCTTGCAGATGACCTGATAGGTAGAGCAATCAAAACAGGTTAAGTTTAGTCATGAGGAAAACATAACACTGCAATAGAAAGTGAACTGTGTTTTTTAGCACTAACAAGCTGAGCAATGGTTACTTTTCTTGCTTGTTTGTTCAGAGTACACAGAACAAGATGAGCATGATTGAGCTCAAGCCTCAGTGATACTGGTTGGGGACTGGTGACTCCCCGATGGGAGCCCTCACAGGAAAAAACTGAAATCAACAGAGGGAACATTAGGAATGTTTTGCATCCACCTTAAAGATCTGTGTGCCAACATTCCTCTGGACTGATAACCACCGTCCTTACAAAAGTAAGTCTGGAGACTGAGACTCGTCTTTGTGCCATCTCAGGCCCTAGTGGGTTTTTTTTTTTAAATACGCTATTACGAAACACACTCTAATGGGAGACTGGCGGCAAGGCATGCGTTTAAGACCATTACCATCTGCTTGCAAGCAGAAACGCATTCAAATCTTTCCCCAAAATAATCTAAGAGTGTCACTGAGGAGCCTCATCATCATTAAATGAATAGAAAGTGACATTTTTCTTACAAAACAGCCTCTATATAAGAATTTCAGACCATATTTTATGTCTCTGTACAAGTTGGTCTAGTTTCTTTTCTTTTCCCCCCCTCATGATAAGAAAACTTAAACTTTGCTGGTTGAATAAAAGGACATAAAAAGCTTACATCATTGTCTGTGCTTTTGACAGCTATTCAGACAAGCGGTCATGATCTTCCACATACTCAGGAGTGCCCAGAAACAAAGTAGAGAAAGAGACTACACTGAGAAAATGAACAGAGGACAGAGAGAAGGTAGGAGGGACCTAGTTGACAAATCCACTCTGTTTTTCTTTTCTTTCGTCTTTTTTAAGAACTTTTTTTCTTCGCTCGCCTTTTCTCCTTTCTAACTGCTGCCATGTGTTTAATATCAGATGTAATCTGTTCCAGACGTTGGGCAGGGGCTAGATGGGGAGAAGAGGGGCTCACAACGGGACAGCCGCCATCTTCACACTAGAACTAGACACAAAGACCAGCAAGTACGACTCAGCCGACAACAAGTGTTAAATACAGAAAGACTGATACAGTAAAAACTTTGGGAAAATAAGGAAAGATGAATCAGATAGAATCATAATAATTACCTGATTTTCTGAATACTTTGCAGATTTTTCTGGTTAATGAAGAGTCATGGCAGGGGCCCATTCCCTGAAAACTCGATGATGCATTAAAACTGCTAAGACTAATCAAATCACGTCCCACATGCTTGTCATGGCTGAAATACCAATATTGTGACTTGACCGGGCCATATGTGAGTAACCACAAGCTTGTTTGAGGGTGTGTGCATGTATATGTCTGTGCGCAACCTTGCACATCTGCATGTGTTCTTGTAAGTTGGAGGGCCTCGGCAGAGTACAAATGAAATATGGTTCTCATTTGGCTTATTGCCCACCCAACCCCCCAAAAACCACAGACGTCCCACTCCCCTGATGCTTTCCTCAGGCCATTTGGTCAGACGAAGGTGGGGGTTTGAGCTAGAATAATCCCCCCGGGGGTGAAGTTTATATTGGCAGGGTGTGAGACAGAATCAGCCAGAAACCTTATTGAGTAACTAGTCTACTATGGAAAGGGGTAGGAGGTGGGGTGCTGGGAAACTGGGGTTCGCGTGTTTGGTCATCTGTTTTTTGTTTTTTTTTCTGAGTGCGAAGTGCAGAGTGAAGGCTCTCTTAGTTGAAAGGCTGCTCACACAGAGACTGAAGGGGGCACTCTTGCACCTGACTTGTGTACATCACGTTGAACGCCCGGTCTAGCTTGCTTGGATATGTTGAGTGGGGGTTTAAAGTGTTTGGGTGTTTGTACCCAAAGTAAATTCCATTAGTAATGAGTTTTGTAACATTTAAAAATAGCTAAACATCAAATACTTGCTTGAAGAAAAATCTGTGTTCTATTTTAAAGAATGGCCATGTAAATGTCTGTTAACGTTCCTCCTACCACATCGAACCCATTA